ATAGTCATTTTCCCACAGAACAGCCAGTATATTCGCAAAGATGGATGTTATGACCAGAAGGTTGTTTAGTTCACATCACTATAGATTTGGTGAATAGTGCTCATGTAAGGGGACGTTCTTGTTTACAGGATCCTCCAAATGCTTCCTGGCAATCCCACCCAGTGATGTGAGCCAGAACTGTTTATTTTAACTGACATTTCATGGTGAACATTTAAAATGCAAGATGAATGATATATATATATGGTGGTAGGCGTACATATATATATATATATATATATATATATACAAGAGATTGTAAAGGTGAAATGAGCAACCAAGTACCTCTTTTTGTGAAAACTATAGACAAAAGATAGTGGCTGATGATAAAAAAAAAAATAAGAAAATTGCTACTACCAAGAAATAATAATTTTGTATTTATATATACACACACACGCACACACACACACACACACACACACCATCAAATATGCATCACCAATGGCACACAAATCAATTTCACATGATAAATCAACTTGATCTCTCCAAGAACACTCAATATGCCTTATCTCCAAGAAGAGACAGTGAGAGATATTGCAGCTGTCACTTTCTTCATAAAATGAATGCAATTTTTTATTTAAACAGCATGAAAAGGCACTTAATGCCTTGATAGACGACTTATTAGTTTCAGTCTCTCACTGTCACATGAAGTGCAGATATTAATGGCTGTGGATGGAGATACGCTGGGCATGTGGCGGTAGAAACGCTGGTACAGAGATGCTAAACTGTTTATACACTGATCCATTGCACGATTAAACAATTATTTTATTTAATTACTATTCAGCTAGTAGCTGACTGATGAGAAACAAAGGCTAGCAAATCTTCACAGATTCTCATTGCTTGCATTGTCATGAACAGTGTTAAAAAATCCAAACTTTTTTTCTGCCTTCTGGTCAGCACTTGCATTCATCTCAGGGCTCTCGGAGCAGTGCGCATGAATTTTGGCTTGTGTGTGAACATGCTAAACAAATTCAGAGCCTCTCAGACGTCCACAGCACATGCGGTGCGGTTCACATGTAAAGCACAACACGCTCCGGTTTCACTTTACTGTCACATTTGTTTAATTCCATTACACAACAGCCACTACAAGACACCATACAAAAATAATTCAACACTAATACACTGGAAAGCAGTTTGTGGAATGAGGAATTTTCATCCTTTAGTCAGCATACAGAACAAGCAAACGGCCAAAGCATCAACAAATGCTAGTGTGCTTCTATATTAATGAGAGCAGCTTGTTTAAATACACTCAAATATGTGATTTATTTATGACAGGTCCGAATGGTCCTTCATGTCAGTTGTTTGCTATATTGTGAATTTCAGTGTTTTAGTAAATCTAAAACACGATCACTCACAATCTAAAACAGAATAACGATATCTGAGCCGATTCCTTTAGACCAAAAAGTGTTCAAATTCTCGTTTTGACACAAAATAATGCCACAAAGTTCCCGTTCTTCAACTTCAACAGGAGCCGTGAAAGACAGGCACGACCACCCAACAAACCACTTCAAAAGCAGTCAAATACTCAGGGAAAGTGAGTCAAAAATAAATGAATTTGGAGAATAGATGGTTTCTGGCACGCTGCACTTCAAAAATGCTGCGCATGAAAGAAGTCCCGGGATAATTTGCCATCATCAATGGAAGCCATTCTAACAACCGTCATCAGAGCGCCAGATTTCGGACCAAATCACTCCAGGCTTAAAAGACTTGTCACGTCAAATGCAGAGAAAAAAAACTGAGGAAACAGCCAATTTCATTCGCTTATGCTCTTTAAAACAGACAAAACTTAGAAAGACATGCTTGCAGCTTGCCATAGAAATCAAATAAATACAGGAGGAATGTTTCTCATTTTCCTTAGTGAAGTAAGTGTGTGTGTGTGTGTTTAGATTCCTCAAGAATCTCCTGCGGAGTGTGTTCACTGCTAGCAAAGGGTTTCAGACGGAGAGCAAGCTGCATATGTGTGACTGTGTATCTTTATATCACTCTCTTGTTTTACACAGGGCCTAAGAGAGAACAATAATAAAGCATTAAATTGTAGGTCTGATGGTGAGGAACAGTAACAGCACTCCTCTCCTCAACGTTATTTGAGGAATCATTCACATCTCTAGCACAATTAAATCATGTGTCTTTTTGAGGTGAGGTGTGTTCGTCTACTGTAAGTGATCACACTTACAATTCATCTGACAGATGTATAAAAATATAAAACAGGAAGCAATACTTAAGATTTGTACTAAAAAGACAATTAGAACAATTTAGCAACTCCTTTCCCCTCAATTCTAATATTTCTGGATTCCATTTTAATGGTTTACTTAAAAACTTTTAAAACTTTAAAAATTTATTAATTTATGACAATTTCTACAATAAACGAACCCTATGAAATTTATGTTTATTCTTTCTTTCTTTCTCTCTCTCTCTCTTTCTTTCTTTCTTTCTTTCCAGAAATACTGTGTTGTTTGTTCTATTTTTTCTGGATTTATGATTTAATACAAATTTATTATTTAAAAACAGCGGTAATTAAATGAAAGCATAAAACATTATTTATTTCATCTTTCAAAATGTAATCAAAAGAAAATTGAACAATTCCTTTTATTTTAATTTTTTTGGCAAACAGAGGTTTACTGTTAAAATTAAAACATGGAAGAAAAATTGTATGATATTCATAAAAAAAAAAAAAAAAGTTACCTGCACCTAAAAAACAAACAAGCAGACAAACAAACAAACGTGGTGTTAGACGTCCCAGCCTTCAGGAAGTGCCAATCAACAGTTAGCTCTTTTAATACGCTTTTGTACAGTTCAGTCATGACAACTCTCGGAGTGATTATTTCAACCAGCATTCAGAGATCTGCTACGCTGCTGCTGCTGAGCAAATACAATCATTCGTTCAGCTTAGTCAAAAATAACAAAGGAAGGCTGCTGCAAGAAATGCAGAACCCCCCAGCAGATCTCTACAGGTGGTGCTGGGGAGGAGGAGGAATAATATAAGATTTCACAATCGTGCCACTTGCTGAACACAGGCTAGGATACAATATATACAGTTATGTGGATTAGGAAGTACTCCTGATTGGCTGGTGCCACGTCGTTGAACGAGTTAATTAGCGATTAGTTAGAGTTTCATGCCTGAACTATATATTTATGGTTACAAACTCTTTCCACCAGCCTACACTTATAGTTTGAATGTGAATGTGACAAAATGTGACAAAAATGAGAATGAATGAATGAATGAATAAGACTGATAACCTACCTATTTATTTATTTATGTATGTATGTTCAAAATTCCGATATTGCAAAATTATTGTTATGAATTATTTTGGCCTTCTGATATGGTGACAGTCCTACTAATGAATGCACTAATGAATAATGCTCAGTAAGACTGAGAATTGCACTGGTTATTCCAGTTCACCAGAAGCATTTAAAATGATTCGCTCATGAGTCACAGTGACCCGGCTCTTGTGTCAAACTCGGCGATCAGTGGTTAACAGCTCACTGCAGGGGAAGATTATCAGTGAAGAATGACTTCATGTTGGTCTGTCCTTCACACAACACTATCACATGACTTCAGAAGGACTTGGAATTAGATTAATATGAACCAGTTTTATGATGCTTTTTTATGGTGCCTCTTTGTATCTTGAAAGCTCATGTTGTCTTTCAGTGTAATTGCAAGGAAAAAAAGTGACAGGTACATTATTCACACAGGTAGGACATGAAAGGGAGTAAATTATGACTTATGTGAACTGTCCCTTTAAGAAAGTAAAAATACAATATATGTGACCCTGGAGCACAAAACCAGTCTTAAGTCGCTGGGTATATTTATAGCAATAGCCAACAATACATTGTATGGGTCAAAATTATTGATTTTTCTTTTATGCCAAAAATCATTAGGATATTAAGTAAAGATCATGTTCCATGAAGATATTTTGTAAATTTCCAACCGTAAATATATCAAAACTTAATTTTTGATTAGCAATATGCATTGCTAAGAACTTCATTTGGACAACTTTAAAGGCGGTTTTCTCAATATTTAGATTTTTTTTGCACCCTCAGATTCCAGATTTTCAAATAGTTGTATCTCGACCAAATATTGTCGTATCCTAACAAACCATACATCACTGGAAAGTTTATGATGTATAAATCTCCATTTTGAGAAATTGACCCTTATGACTGGTTTTGTGCTCCAGGGTCACATATATTGATTCAGTGAAGTCTTTAAACACTAATCTAAGCCCTGATTTGCTGGACCGTCCTAAGAACTGGAGACTATGACGTAGGATTCACCGATGGACACAAACGTCTTTTCAGGGACAGCGAGAAGATAGAGAGGAGTTCAAAACTGCTGTGGTTTGGACTTGATTGTCTGTGTCTTAAGGCGCTGAAGGGTCAGAGATGGGTCAGTTTGCACAGGGCGGTTTGTCCTTGTGTCCGCCTGGCAGGACGTCCTTCCACTGCGGCTTTGACACCACAGTAACAGCCTCACACACACAGACACAGCGTGAGTGTGTGCTGGTTTATGTGCCGCGAGGGCGTTCTGGTTCATGGTCTGATGCGCGTCACGGTGCTGATTATGTGGACTCGGCGTGGGCCGCAGGGTTAAACTCAAGACCGGCTTTAGCTCTTCCAGCGGTCTTAGACTAAACCCTGCTTAACGTCACACACTACCCACAAGCCACCTCTCTCTCTGCTCTTCCACTGGGATGTGGCTGCGGTGCGTCAAGAGCGGTTGTGTGATAGTCAGCCAGAGTCAGACATAAAAAGAGCCTGTGCTTGTGTGTTAGAATGCAGCATTATGCAATGCGGTCTGCGTGTGTAACTCACGTCGCACTGGAAGGGCTTCTCTCCGGTGTGTGTGCGCATGTGTTCATCCAGGCCACGCTTCTGACTGAAGGCCTTGTTGCACTCGCTGCATTTATACGGCTTTTCCTGAAAGAGAGAGAGACAGTGAACGCAGGGAGATATGGGGGAGGATGCCCTTCTTAAGAACAATGCGAGTTTACTTTTAAATTGTAACATATTTAGATATGTGCATGATGATGATGATTATTAATGAAAGTTAATACCAGGAAAGTTAAGACCATTCACTGCAGACCTGCTTTCCGTCCTCTGATCCTTATATATGTAGTTTCAATATATTATATGATATTATCTATATTACAGATCAGTATTTCTGCAACATTTCATATCAACATTCCTTCCAATGGCACAAATCGGAAACTTTGTATCATCGTTTCACACATGTAAATATGACTTCACTGGTCATTCATGAGTTTTCAAACTCAGTTAAGATATTTGTGACTCCACTTGAAGGGCTGATAGTCTACAGGAAGGCGGCCCTTCAGACGCAAGACTGGACCCCCCCGATGTAGGGCTATCTTAATTAGGATCTGAAGGCATGTGAGAGTGTAATAGTGAGCGCTGTTGGAGGGATTGACTGAAGTTATTGTGTTTTTGAAGAGACTAATGAAGAGCTGATACATTCAGAGAGAGACAGAATAATTCCTCAGGCATGAACATATATCTGTATGTTTACAGAAACTAGAGATCCCCATTACACACACACACACACACACACACACACACACACACACACACGAAAGATGGTCTGGGATAAACAAATTAAGTGCCTTTCATGTGTTACACACCTGGAACTCATTTCACATGGACACACGCATACATTTACTTATATAACAGACTGAAAACACAGCACTGCTGTCACACCACAAACACATACATACTTACTGAATAAAACACACCTGGACATAATAACACACTCAAACAGACACTCTTTTGATGTGTGAAATAAGAAAGTGCAAAAGAAAGAGAAAGAGGAAATGAGATGCTAACCAACCCATTTTAATTACTTAATAAATTCTAATAATAATATAATATATATATAGATAGATAGATAGATAGATAGATACACATATAGTGTGTGTGTGTGTGTGTTGAGCAGGTTGGCGAACATGCATACATTGATAGTCCGCTCACACTTCCAACACCCAGCTGTCACGGGAATGGGTGGACACAGGAAGAGAGGATCCTGGGAAATGGAGCAGGGCAAGGTGTGGTCACACCACACAGGATATGCAAGGTGCTGCGGATCAAGTGTGTGTGTGTTTGTCAGAGACAGACGTAATCAATATGGGCCTGGGCCAGCATGGACACGTGTGTTTGACAAAAAGAGACAAAAAGATTTAGTGTAAGACGAGACTTCTGGCGTTTGTAGAGAATAATAGATTCAGCGTGTAGCTGTGAGACTCCATAACTGAATCAGATCAGCAGTAAAACCGTCAGCTGGGACCGTCAGCAACACAACCCCCACAAAAATATGTAAAGGTCAAGAGTCACGCACTACGAAAAACATTAGCACAGATGGACAATAGTGGATGGCCCATAATGCTTTGCAGCTTTGTCAGTTTACAAATATACCTTCATCTGTCTGTTTTTAAAAGCATGTATCCTTCGCTGCCTGTGAACAATCCCATAATCCTGATTTTGCATGAAGCCATTAAGACAACGCAATCGATTTTTTTTGTAACACTTTATTTTTAAGTGTATGTTGTTATGCATGTTACATGTATTTCCTATAGCAATAAAAGTAAATTTGGCATAATTACAAGTAACTAACACTAAACCAGATCCTAACCCTAAACCTGTAGTAAACACAATCTTAATTCATATTACTAATTATTTAACTAAGGATACATTAATTAATCTCTGCAGTAAACAAAAACCATTTTGTCTATCAATACAAAATCCATAACTTTTTGTCAGCATGGTCTGAAAATAAAAATTTGATAAAAATCGGACCAATGGTCTAGGATGAGTTCGAAAAAGTAGGTTTTCAAAAATCAAAATGGAGGACAGGAAGTTTGGCCGATTATGGCAAAATTGGTATCGATGTTCTCGGCATGATCCAAGGAATCCATCAAGACCAGTGTCATGACAATAGGCAAAACTAATCAATAGCTATTAGTATCTTTTGAAATTTTATTATGATTTTTGACCACAAGGTGGCACTGCCCCAAAACTTTTTGAGTACCTTCAGGGCATGGTGCTGAAGGCACATACCAAGTTTCGTGATGATACGCCAATGCATTTGTAAAATATACCATTTTACCACAAAATTTAAAATGGGAAAATTGGGAATTGTTCAACTCGGTATGTCGCCCCGAATAAAAATAAAATAAATAAATAAATAAAACAGTCTTGTGACTTTTGGCAAAACTGTTCTGAAGTTATAAGCAAAAAAAAATAAAAAAAATATCCATGTTTCACATCTCTTTACCACTAGGCGGCTCTGTGCTGAAACTGTTCAGGTACCCTCGAGTCATAGTTGTTATAACATACACCAAGTTTGGTTTGAATACGCTAAAGCCCAAAGTATACTACCGCCGTCCGCGTTCCGCAACGGTCCACACACTGTCCTCATGACGCAATTATTGTCATCCGAATTGTCCGCTGACGTCCGCGCACACCGTCCGCATGCAGCCCAATTTTTGTGATCTCGCGGAAGGCCCGACATGGTACAACAGCGCAGGCGTGAGGTGAATGGTGAGACAGAGTGAGTCAAGTAGGTGATACTGCACATGTGTACAGCTCGTCCGTCTGCGCTCATTCGCGGTTGAGTACACTTTGAAAGCTGTGCGGACGCAGCTGTGCACGAGACGGAACGGAACTTGGAAAGTGAAGTATACCCGGGCCTTAAAGATTTGCAGAAAGAAGAAGAAAAGAAGAAGAAAACTAATGATTACAAGAGGTGCCTACGCATCTTTGGTGCTTGGCCACAATTTAATAGTCTCGCGTAGCCAGACCTTCAGACTGCTGGCAGAAGGTCTGGGAATCTTGGATTGGTTTGAATGGCCAAGGACTTCCCAAGAGGCCATCTGACTGACAGATAAAGCAACAAACTTTCGTTTTGTGCCGCGTCATGTTTAGGGGCATGGAAATGTCTCCACAGTAACAGACCGGTGTGTAAAACTGTTGGACGTATTTATTTTAAAGATTCTGTACCGCGAACTTTACATATTTCACATACTTTTGAAAATCCAGCGTTTGGTTGATCCTGATAAGCGCTCATTGTTGCTCACAGTTGTAAACAACGATGGCTATCTTCTTCCATGAGTGGGTTTGGCATCACAGCATCTATGAGGCGCATCTTTTGTTTCCGGTGGAACGTTAAAGAACACGACACACATGTCTCCCAGAAATCCTGTATAATTCAACCAATCCGATGACGACTTTGAAACTCTTGAAGTGTTTCCAGTTTTGTGTGCCGTATGCATCAGACGTTCAGCCAACGGTCCGTGGGTGTGACGTCTGAGGCTGAGATTACCAATTTAATATCTAGCTCTGTCGATTCAGTATTAGTGCCACACTGCTGTTGAAAAGCAGTGCAGGAGATAGTAGCGTCAGAGTCAGTTCCAGAGGCAAAAATTCCATGTGTTTTCTCCATAGGAGAATTGATTTTTAATGATAACTTGTAAAGCTTTAAAGACAGACATACTGTGAGCTTTGAGGTTGTTAATCAATGCTATATGCTATTGTTAAAGTTGTCCGTTCACATTATCTCTTGTGAAAAACTACATTACCCAGGATTCTGCAAAAACTTCCACCAATCAGAGAACTGAAACAAGCAAATTGCACCAAAAGAACACTTTAGCACACACCCACCCACAAATAACGTAATATGTTCAGGCTCCTACATTTTCAAACTACTTAAATATTTGCATATTTATGCATATTTTGCAATAAACATTAAATATGTTGTTTCTGTATACACAATCAGCATCTTCAAATCAAATAGTTTTACATTTCTCTATAGTTTTTGATTATGTAATTCATAGTGTTTCATGGGATTGTAGTTTTCTCCCACTGTTTTGTCACAAATTAACGTTATGTAATGTTGTTATTTGCCTCATAGCTGGTTGGTTTGGTTCATGGCTCATAACTCTTTAACAAAGACATTTTTTAAATCCCCATGGGACAAATGAATGGAAAAATACTTCCGAAACAAGGCTGCTGAAAAAAAAAGGGAATCTGACGCATTCTACACTTTTAAATGACATCTATGGTTCCATGTAGATCCTTTAACATCCATGGAACCTTTCCATTCCACTTTATAGTGGAAAAAGGTTCTACAGATTATTAAAATGTTTTTCACACTAAGAAAAAAAAAAGTTAACTGAATGATTTTTTGAAGAACCCAAAATGGTTCTTTTAATTGCATCTCTGCAAAAAACCCTTTTATTTTTAAGTGTATAATAAACCACATTTGCTCAGAAGAGACTGGCGATGACTTTTGAGTGCACATGGTGCATCACTATTCCAGCACATATAGCGTCTGATCAACCTGGAGGTGCAAGCAGTATTTGAATAAGCTGGAGGGTTTTGTGCTGAAATACAGTGCTATAAAGTGGGCAACTCTTTAGTGAGGCCCAAACAGAAAGAAATATCTGTCATGTAAGTGGATTAGCACTGCTCTGTCACTGCTTGTTCTCATTACTGCATCACCAATGCTCTGTTTTCACTTGATGTCTTAGTGGCTGTGTTTCTGTTGTGTGTCAGTCCACAGCTCATACGTTATGCAGCAGAATTGCAGGATCACGCTCCAAATTTGGCAAAGAGTTCTAATGATGTGCTGCATCTGTTCTGCTTTCTTAGGTTTTCTTGGATTAACGCTGATGTTCCCACTCTGTCTGTGCAACAAATATGAGGGACACTGCTATTCTAAACAACTGGGGAAAAGATGGGAGAAGTGATAGAGTTATTTCAGGAAATGATGTCACGACAAACACCCATGTCATCCATCATCATCCAACGGCTTTCCAAAAACATGTTTCATTTCTTGCCATTTAGCAGATTTTATTAAGAGTCTCAAGCTAGCTTCAACTAAGCGATTTTCCGCCCAATCATTGTTGGAATCATTTACACAGTCATTTAAAAAATCAAACATGTCTGGTTTCAGGTCAATTTTAACAGCCCCAAGGACTCAAATCCCTGCTGGGTTAATAATATTACAACCTCCGTGGATAATAAATAGTTTGAGAGGCAATTGTTGGGGTGGCACTCAATTTTGCTGCCAAAATTAAGTGTTATAATATGTGAAGTGGTGAGACATTTCTGAAGCAATTGTCTATTGATCACACCTCATTCATATTTGGCTTTACAGTAAAATCGGGGTCTGTCCTCTCCAGTGACCCTGAACTAAAAAGTAAAAAGCTAAATGTTCTAAAAAAAAAAAAAACTCTCACATCTGTTAAATGAGTGGTGTAATGTGGTCTTAATCATGTTTCTGTAGCTGCTTTTATGTCACGTACATGGACACGTCTGGACACACGCACACACACTTAACAGAGTATTTTAGGCAGTAGCCTTTTTAGGCAGATGTTGAAGAAAGTGTGTTGCTTGTGTTTTGTCCTGCGTTGAGGAGACATTTCCTAATGACCCGCTGCAGCAGAGGTTAAAAACATCCGCTGCACTAGAAAAACACACAACTACACAACTCATCAGGGGTGAAGAAGGTGACAGTCCATTTTAACATGAGGATATAGAGAAAACGCATTAGTATATATAGATCCTAGTATATAGCTAAAAAAATCTCTTCACTTCAGTTGTCTAAGGCTACATTCACACTGTTATTTTTAAGGAACCCATTTATTATTACTATTAATTGTATTACATTAGACATATTCAATCAATAAAAATAAATACACACATATTTACACACACACATTATATATATATATATATATATATGGTAACACTTTAAATAACTATAGTATTAAATTTACTGTAAAATAAAAACAAATTAAAAAACAGCATTTAATAATAATAACCTTTCCTTTCAAACGTTAAACCGCAGGGAGACCTTACAGCTTCTCTTTTGTTGACAACAGATTTTTAAACCATTCTCGTTATGAATTTGGGAAGATGGTTGGCACATTTTCAAACGCAAGTTACAGGCGACCAAAACGGAGTCACTTTGACATGCTGAAAACACCGGTTCATGAGACACAGTGCTGCATTTCACAGCCAAGTTTGTGTGGTTTAGTGAACTTTCACATACACAGAAGCAGGGCAATGCAATGGCAATGGGAAAAACTAAAGAGATGGGGAGGTGGATGTACATTGAATTATCTGTAAATAAATGTGTGCATATGCGTGTAGTCTTACCCGGGTGTGTGTGCGTATGTGCATTTTAAGGCCGTCATTCTTGCTGAAGGCCTTGTCACAGTATGGGCACTGATACGGCCGCTCACCTGAAGACACACAAACATCAGACTGTCAGACAATAAATATACACTCTCAGATGGAACAGTTTATTAATCTTTTACACAAAAATCTTTAAAAAAAAAACAATGTTTCGTATCATGTTGTAATGTAACCACATTGACTACTTGCATAAAATAATATAAATATCAGTCGTCATTCTATATCTCTATATATATGTCTTACTAAAATGATATTTAATTGCTTAGTTTGACGATCAAAGCTCTGTAAACATACAATACAATGCAATACAGTGATGATGGAGAGATGAAGAAATAAACGTACCTCAAAAGCCCGATGATCATATTTGAAAGTCACATTTTAACATTTTGATTCATGATTTTTTTTCTGAAAATTATGTCTGGATAAGTTTAAGTAAGCCCAGTAAGTGCTCAACTTAAAATATTACTAACAACATAACAGTTATTCTTACGTTTACTTTATAAAAATCTGTTATCTCACAGCAAAGAGACACGTGAACCATGAGTTGAAGGTTTGTGGAGGGTTGTATAGTTACACTAAAAGACTTTTACTTAAAAAGACACTTAATTCAGTTATTTGGCTCTATTCTCAAAACTAGGAGCAAGACTCGTAAACAAAGACTGTGACGTGGCATGTTTATTTGTGGACTGTTTTTAGTAACTCAGATACAGTTAAGTCATTGTTCAAGTCAGTTGGTTTCGAAGTAAAGCCACTGATCCCCATCCGTGCAGCAGTGCCAGGACTGTTTCAATGGAAAATGAATGCTCTAATTGATGATCAAGGCACATTATGGCTTCATCATCACTCCTAAGGTTCTGCACCACTGGAATCAAAGCTTGGAAAAACTGGAATCTTCTGCCTCTTTGGAATCAAGAATGTTTTGATGCCAGGCATAAGTCGGCTTTGGAACGGAGAACCTGGCACAGAACACAGGAATCTGCATAATATTAAAGGCTCCAATATGCTGGGGGATTCAATGCAGAAAGTAACTGTGTCATGCACAGAACTAGCTAAATAAGGCACATTTGATAACTTGCTTTGAGGGTTTAAACGCTGCACCTTCAGGCTGGATATCTTTTGTAAAAACTTTGTTCCACGTTTTGATCACAAATGCCCTTTTTAGTCCAAGATCAAGTATAGCTTGACTGGATACATGGATACAGCTGCATATTGATATTTCAATCAGATATGTATATATGCAAACAGAGCAGGCTTTAATATATACACAATTTGGCCCACAGAGGGTCTAGATATATGCTGTCTGATCTTTGACTACATGAATTCTGGAATAACGTGTCCACAAGGAATTTCCAAATCAATACTCTGTGTGTTTTTAGATGTCTTCCTCTCCAGAAACGTAAAACCAAACACACTGGGTTTTTTGTGTCTCTATCTCCACCATCTTGAACCGCAGAGACCTGAAGTGGGTGGAGCCGGTTAAGCCCCGCCCCTCCGCGGATTATAGCGTCGCCGAGCTGAATGGGAGAGATGCTATCTGAGCGCGCTCAGTATTACCACAAAGGAGGAGTGACACGCTGTCAATCAGAGAGTGGACAAACACGTGGGTCTGCTTTAGATAAAGCTGATCCTGGCTGCAGATAGCAGAGCGGTTATGATTGCAGCGCTACAATCCAGCAGTGTGAGGTAACAAACACCACTGCACTGGAAGCCCAATTCAGTACTTCTGATTTTGTTTAGTCGGAAAAACGCTACTAATTAACATAATATGAAAATTGCATTGCAAGGTCAATATATTATACATTATGATTATTTATTACAATAATGTCCTAGACAGTGACAAAACTATTAAAAATAATTTTCATTCATTGAAATTAAATATACAAATATGTAATTAAAACTTATTACAAATATAAAATATATAAAATTATAAATGTTTTAATTATAAAAAGTTGGACATGTTTAAATGGCAACAATATGGGGTGCTGTGTGTACATTAATGAGGAAAAATAATTAACTTAAATGATTTTAGCAAATGGCTGCAATATAACAAAGAGTGAAAAATTTAAGGGGGTCTGAATACTTTCCGTACCCACTGTATGTAATTAAAACTTATTACAAATATAAAATATATAAAATTATAAATGTTTTAATTATAAAAAGTTGGACATGTTTAAATGGCAACTATTTAACTTATTTTAGGTACTAAAATTGCTAAAAAAAAAAAAAAAAAATAAATTTATGAATAAATTTTTTAGTGAATCAAAAACATGCAATGTTACTAATGGGGAGGTAAAGAAGAACCCAAAGATCACTGTGGCTGAGCTCCAGAGATGCAGTCGGGAGATGGGAGAAAGTTGTAGAAAGTCAACCATCACTGCAGCCCTCCACCAGTCGGGGCTTTATGGCAGAGTGGCCCGACGGAAGCCTCTCCTCAGTGGAAGACACATGAAAGCCCGCATGGAGTTTGCTAAAAAAACACCTGAAGGACTCCAAGATGGTGAGAAATAAGATTCTCTGGTCTGATGAGACCAAGATAGAACTTTTTGGCCTTAATTCTAAGCGGTATGTGTGGAGAAAACCAGGCACCTGTCCAATACAGTCCCAACAGTGAAGCATGGTGGTGGCAGCATCATGCTGTGGGGGTGTTTTTCAGCTGCAGGGACAGGACGACTGGTTGCAATCGAGGGAAAGATGAATGCGGCCAAGTACAGGGATATCCTGGACGAAAACCTTCTCCAGAGTGCTCAGGACCTCAGACTGGAACTAAGGTTTACCTTCCAACAAGACAATGACCCTAAGCACACAGCTAAAATAACGAAGGAGTGGCTTCACAACAACTCTGTTACTGTTCTTGAATGGCCCAGCCAGATCCCTGACTTAAACCCAATTGAGCATCTCTGGAGAGACCTAAAAATGGCTTTCCACCAACGTTTACCATCCAACCTGACAGAACTGGAGTGGATCTGCAAGAGGGAATGGCAGAGGATCCCCAAATCCATGTGTGAAAAACTTGTTGCATCTTTCCCAAAAAGACTCATGGCTGTATTAGATCAAATGGGTGCTTCTACTAAATACTGAGCATTTTTCAGTTTTTCTTTTTTAATAAATTTGCAAAAATGTCAACAATTCTGTGTTTTTCTGTCAATATGGGGTGCTGTGTGTACATTAATGAGGAAAAATAATTAACTTAAATGATTTTAGCAAATGGCTGCAATATAACAAAGAGTGAAAAATTTAAGGGGGTCTGAATACTTTCCGTACCCACTGTATGTAATTAAAACTTATTACAAATATAAAATATATAAAATTATAAATGTTTTAATTATAAAAAGTTGGACATGTTTAAATGGCAACTATTTAACTTATTTTAGGTACTAAAATTGCTAAAAAAAATAAAAAAAAATAAATTAAAGCTAAATAAAAATATTAAAACAAAACAAAAAAGGCAAAAAACATAACAAAACTACTAAAACCTAATGAAAATAAAATGAACATGAAAAGTGAAAATATAAAAAATAAATATTTAAATATTTAATAAATTCAAAATATTAATAAATATTGTATAATAGTAAATAAATAATACTAAAATATGCAAAAATGCAATGGTCCTCAACTCTTTTTTTCTTAAGGACATACAATTCACATTGAATGTCACTATAGTGTGATGTCCATATTATTTTGATCATAAACCATCCAAATTATTAATATTACCATGAACTGCAAACAACCAGCAATATGCCAAGTTAATAACATAATTGGCATGCCCTGACTAGGTTTTTATTTATTTATTTATTTTATTTTATTTCCCCCCATGCATAATCAGTAATGAACATGCAAAAATGTTGTCATTACTTATGAGTGTAATTACAACACGGATACTACAATATAAAGTGTGATCAGACAGTGTCATACTTTAAATAATCTTGTTGAATTTGCCAAAAATGAAAATGGGACATCTCTCAATAGATTAAGGCCTGTTTCACACGGGTGTCTGCAGCATGGCTAAATGACGCTTTATTCTCTTCAGTGCCCATATTAACAGAATACAGTATTCACAGTATACAGTAATATAGCTACATTTTGAGTCAAAATTAAAAATCCGGCAGTTGAAATATGTTATATAGTATCTGTTGCTTTACACGAGTGTACTGTATGTATACGAATACAGTTGGATATAGAGAGCTGTGTGATCATACAGTTTACATTTTGTGATGATAGAAAACTGTTTAAGCTCATGTCCCCTATAGTGCCCCTTTCAACCAAGCAGAGAATAAATACACTCTGCATTATATATTACAAATTGCAGTCTAACGGACTTATTTCTAAAATCAAGACTACGGCAGCGTACAAATCAAGTTTTGCATGATGTCAGCAAACTAACTTCCCCGCATAAGAAACAGAGCTCTGTATAACTGGAACAGTGAGAGATAAAAGTCAGCTCACTGGCACAGCTTCTGATGCTCTGGCATGTTGCGTAGGTATTATTAAGAGCGTTTCGGAAAAGATGTAAAATATCAGGCTCACAGAACCGTGAGATCCAGCCGTCACCAGCAGGAAGTGCAGAGAAACCCAGGCACGTGAAACAAAGCTCTATTCTCATTACGGGCCTTTCTGGGCTAATGAAATAAGGGTTTTCTGGATGGAGAATGGCTCCCTTCGGAATAAGTAATGCGTCTGGCAATTGGGGGCAGCCCCACAGAGAAACGTGAAATGGCAAAACATAACTTAATAAGACACTGTCTTCAGAGAGATGCCAACTGCTGTGTTCCTCTGTGTCCTGATTGTGCAACAATCCCGTTTCTAATTCGCTTTCTTGTTAATGCCGTCTCTTGAGGGAATAACTGTTGGATTCTAAAAGACGTACGTAGATTAATTAGATAAACCAAAAGATTGGCGAGGAAAACTTTTTTTTTTTTGCTGCCCTTTGAATAATAAGGTTAATTAGCTCAGCTTCAAGGGGAATGCACATGTAAGATGTTCATTAAACATGAGACAGCTCTCCAAACGAGTTTGCCGAGACGTTACAAATGATCCGTTATGGTGCTGA